CTTGAAATCAAACAGAAATCGCTTCCACCGAATCATCCATCGTCAATCGCGACTCATCGAAACATAGCAACAGCATTGGATGGTCTCCATCGATCTGAGGAAGCTGTTCAACATGCGCAGCATGCAGTTGACATTGCACAGCGTGCATTTGGAACTGATCATTCGGAAGTAAAAGACAATCAAGAATATCTTGATGAACTTCGTCAAAAACTCTGATCAATATCATATTGAACACTGTCTACTTGCTATATTTGATTATTTTTGTCGGATTTGCTCTAATTACTAACTACCATTTCTCAAATAGCTATCAATAGTGTTTAGTTATCAAAGTCGAGCTTCTGTCATTACATAGATCTATATGGAGACATTTATCTATGTATTATTCATTAAGTTCTAAGAAGTTTTCTAGAATATTCGCAAGTAAACAATTTTTCTATTGCTCATTTCTACAAATTCTCGTAACAAACTATGTTCAAACTACACTAAAACGTAGTTCATTCCATTCTAACTGTGTCTGAAAAACTTTCTAGTATTTGATAAATATGATGTAGATAGATATTCTTCAATAGCTAAAAAGTATCGAAAGGTATTCGAAAAATGGTGTTTAATATTTTTTTTAAAATTCTACAATATTACATAGTTAGTTCTTCGCTACTTTTATTTTTATTTCTTCAAGTCTCATAGACTTTTCATCGATCGTTTTTTTTTATATTCGTTTTTTAGGTTTATCATGCGCTGGTGAAAGCTCGAAAATTGTTCTGTACAAACACTGTCCTTTAATGTTCCTTATATGAATTGTTTTTTTTTTGATGAGCCAAATAAATTCAAATTCAGCATTACTTTCTTCAGTTAAAACGCGATCAAAAAATAATTTTTCAGTATTAAGTTTGTCGAACCTCAAAACTTATGAAACCTTCTTTTCTTCGTTTACAAGTCTGGACATGATTTGACTTGAAATTTGATCAATAATTTTTTAGTTATCAATCATCTCTAAGTTATCTAGTATTCATTGTGTTATGTTTCATTCTTTCTACAATATGTAATATTAATCATTTCAGTCGAGTGATTAGATCTGAGCTTTCCCAATGGGATAACAAAGCATAAGAATAATAAAAAAAAATTCTTTTATTTTCCAATAACAAATTTTCATCCATTCAAGCTTATGCTGATTAGTATTTTTTTCAGAGAAATTAGTTAAGATTTTGAATTTCAATTACACAATTTTTTTACTTGATCAACGAGTTCGCGCATATGATTATTGTTAAAATTAGTATGTTTTGGTATTTTCTGTTCAATCTTTGTGATAAAAAAATAAAACCAAGCATGTACTTCATTCAAAGTCGAACAGTTTAACATTAATTTACAAGTAAGTCCTTTGCGTATTTTTACAATCGATGTAAATACTAAAGGATTGTTATATAGTTCAACAAGGGTTGCCATTGCCATCACTTGTGGAATTGCACAAAATTCAAATATTTTACGATGTTTAAGACGACCAAGATAGTTGATTACATCAGGCACATGTTTAAGTGAATCCATTACCATATGATTTAAACATTCAAGACTTTGTCGTTCATTAGGAGTCTTGATAAATTCATCAATATCGATTGCATAATTTTGCCATATTTCTTTTGGCCACCAAGTTCTGCCATTTTGAAGATCTTCGAGATAATCTCGAATGATATTCGTTTTCTGTAAAAACAATCCCATACTATTACTGAGATGTTCATGAACATGGATATCAACATCTTCTAATCCACTATGAGCAAAGAGAGCTGATAATCCATAACCAACAAGGCCAGCAACATAATGACAATATAAATTATAACTGTCTAGTGTGTCAATTGAACCAGTCTTACCAACATATTCAGTCATTCCATTTCCCATTTGACGTGTTATATCTAATATAATCGATTGATATTTTGCATCCAATGATTTAAATACGTTAACGACTTTACCGAAATTCTCCAATAATATTCGATAGTCTTCTGCATCACCAACATCTTTTATAGAGCAATTATCAACTGATAGATTATGGTAGAAATTTCTTAATAAGAAAATCTTTTTGTCTTGAGGATATGTCATGTCATCTTCAACACTATCAAGACCACGAAGAACAAGATAAAAAATACATACGGAATCTTTTAATGGTTGAGGAAGCTGTTGAATGACAAGTGAAAACGAACGACTAACTTTATTCAATGTTGCATAACAAAAATCTACATCGTTAAGTGTCTTTACTAGTTGATCGAGTGCATTTTTTGGTACTTCTTTAACATAGCCACCAAATTTCATTTTAAATATTGCAATTAGCTCACTTGGAAAGAAAAATGAAGATATTAACTCTTTCAATAAACGAGGAATATGAAAATATTTTTGTTTGAAAATCTTCGTTGGATTTTGTTTTATTAATGTAGTATTATAAACATTGCTGGAATTGTATACTTGATCAACATTCATGTTGGCTGAAGCTGAATCCGAGTATTGATAAATATAGTAAAATAAATATACGACAATATTTATTAAAGCAGCAATGATCATGATCATTGTTATAGAGTTCGAATCGAAATAATAGTAAGTATGTTGACCTTCCATTTATCTTTTACAAAATAAAAGTGAATATTATTCAGCAAGTTATACTCATCAGTACAGGTAAGAGAGCTCTATCATGATAAAAAAAACAAAGAACAAAGAAAAAAAAAGAAGAGATATCGTCCGAGATCTGATGATGATCGTTCGATGTCGGACGATGATGATGATCATCATCTTGTGGTTTTGGTGTCACTTGAATGAAAGAGAATTGCGTGTTTTTTCTTTGTTTACTAACTTCAACCGTTAATCTAATTTTCTTCATTGTTTCAAGATTTTTATTCTTCTCATTTATTTTTTTTCTACTTTCTTACCATTATATATTATAGTAATTCAGAGTAATTTAACTATGAATCTCATAGAATATATCGTAGCTAATTTGTCTAACAAACAAGTTAAATATTAATAAAACATAATTATCAGATAAAATAGAAAACTATCAAACATTATTATAAATCCAACTAGAAGAAAAATCAGCAAAGCAAAATGAAATAAACTCTTTTGACCTTTCTATTGATCTTTCAAGGTCAATTTATAGTGTTGCCTTTTTGTTAATCTTTATCATTATAATGTTGTCTGAACAATAATTAAATCTAGTAGAATTTCACAGTGTTGTGTTGTCTATATATATAGAGAGAAAAAACATGTTATCGATCTTTCAATAAGGTATCACATTTCTGATAGTGATAATCTTATTAGATCGTAAATAGATTGATATTCGATTCTATTTCATCATTTGATGTTTCATTTCTTTTTATCGTTTCAATGCAAAAAAATCATAAAAATACTGAAAGAAAAATGTACAATCAAATTAACTTTATATAATTGATTGTATTTCATTGTCTAACCTAAATAAATCAAGTCTCTCTTTAACTTGTACGTGAAATTATGTAAATAAAAAAAACGAATTAATCCCCATAGTGTTCAATATTTGGAAAAAAAATATTCAGTTCAATCGAACATATTATACTGAAGAAACAAGAACGATTATACACTAGTGCTTTTTCAGTTAAAACCGGCTTAAAAAAAACCAATATATTCGATATGTCTGAAAATTGGTTTTTCTTCAACTGGATCGATAAAAATCTCTTCACATTAAATGATATTAGACTTTTATGATTACTTGTTAAAACAACTCTCAAATGAATTATGATCATCATCATTGTAAAAATATTTCATAGAATAGATGAATCATTATACTACTTTTATTCCAAAGTTGCTTTTCATTAACGTACTTACCAACAACAAAGATTCATCAACTATATGATATTTCACAAAGAATTGTTTGACAAGATAATGAATGCATTTCGCTTTTTATCTCCGAAAATCGTGGAGCCTTTAGGAAATTTTACACTTATTGCGCACTTTTCTATTTTCGAAAAAGAATAATTCTTAAATCTATCATGGAAACTCGACAGAATAAAAACGATGATTCTGAACAAAATAGATATTGTCAATATATTTTTTCAAAATTGACCATAAAATGTTCTTATTTGATAAAGAAAAGTATTTCTAGTTACGTATTATAAATATTGAACTATCTAGATTCACTGAAAATCAATATTCAGTTTTACAAAATAGTCAGGTAAATCAAATCATCTTGTTTGTATACCATCGTTGTTTAGATTGGTATGAATTAATTGAAACAAAGCTAAACTCGAAATTTTTATTTATCTTTTTGTCATTGAAATATTTTATGAATTTTTTTGAAAGTAAATATCTATATGGCCCAGTGACTGTTTGAATTTTAATTATTTTCAGTAAATATTTAATTTTCTCAGATATTTATAAATAAATATTTCAATAAAAGTACAATTATGAATAGACAATGAGACAAACAATATTTACCAATGAATATTAATTTCAAAGTTTATTTCAATTATTTTCTTAATTTTTTCAAAATAAACTAATATAAAAAAAAGAACACAAAGTTAATTATTTTATTGTCGATTTGCTCATTGAGATATAATCTACTATTGACAGTTTGTTTATTCGATGCAACTTGATCGGATCCATTCAATAGTTAAATAATTGATTAGAAGAAGAATTTTTACTAATGATCGATTGAATAAAAATTGTTCTGATGCAGAAATTCAATTTCTATCTAATGGTTAACATATAGATAACTATTAATATATATATTGACTGAAGGGTATGGGTGTGGGGTGGGAGTGTGGGTATGTATCAAGAGAAGAGCAAGACCAACACCCAGAATAATAAGCGAAAAAAGATCATACCAATCCACTAGATGAATCCAGAGTACCACCTAAGGCATGATTTAGTGCTCTAACTTCTGTTACAGGTCCAATGGTTAATGATGTACCGGTGTCAATAATAGCATTTGCTGATCTGCTTACTATAGTTGATCCAACAGTTACACTGTTCAAAAGAGATAATGAATGAGAAAAGGAGAATCTCACTGATTAAAATACTTACCTAGTCATTTGAAATTCCAAATATCCTGCTAGTACTACAGGAGCATAAGTAACAGAAACCGTGTATTTACTCGAATCTACACCACCGGATATTGCCTTTGGATCACTAAAGAGAAAGAGCGACATGCGAGATGTTTACATTTGTTAATGAAATATTTACGGATTGAAATAAGAGGAAAAGATAGCTTCGGATATAAGACCTTGCGACCACATATTGTAAAAAACTGGCTTCTCACCATCTTTTGTTAAACTTGAATATGCAAGGCCAAATATACCATCATTGACATTACCAGTCATACCATTAAGAAATGCACATTGAGCAATTGTTTGATTTTTCACGATAATTCCACTGATCTAAATAAAATGATGGATTAACAATTATATATACATTGACTGAATGAATTTTTTTTCTTTTAACATTAGCAATATAGAGAAGCCTAATTATTCAATAGGAAAATGAGCACAAAAGAATGTCATAAAAACGAATTTTTTCTTTTGTATTAGCGTTGTACTCGAGTCAGGAAAATGTAAATTCTACTATGACTCATCTGGGATCGGCTTCTAACGTATGATTAATCTTAGTCTTGAAGGCGTAATTAATGATGTTAAACTTCTATCTGAACGATTGTCCTTAACTCACCGTGACAGTGTCGATGCTTAAAAAGCCTTGGACCGAATAATCATTAGCATATGTAATTGAAAATGGTTTTCCATTGGGAATATACGTTGTTGATGTTGCAGAGGAATACTGATTAAAAGCAGCTAAAATTCGAAAGACTACTAGAATCTTCTGATTAAAATACATATTGATAACATACCACAATTCGATGTGCAACTGCTTGATGGTACCCATAAATCAGATGAGCCCGTATCGAAGTCGACAAGAAATGTTTGGCTAGGTGTACCGATTGAGATTGCTCCAATGAAATATGTCTGTTAAAAAAATGAAATTTAGAAATCTACATCCAATAAACTATGGATCAACTTTGTACTATCAGCATTGAACTATAATCAAATGCCACTTGAATCAGGAAATTTATCTCCAGAAAACGATGCATTGCATTTTGCGTACTTATATCAGCTTCATTGACAAGACTTTCCAAGGTAGAAGATTGTGCCACAGAAATTTCGCCGAACGTACGCGAAGATACATCACATATCTTGATCGTGATGTTTGTTAGCGATGCTGTACAAATTGTTGTTGCAAATGAATGAGGACGAACTCGATCGATCGAAATCCTAAAAGTTTCAAATGAACATATTCGTACATAGTTTTCATTGACATAACAACTTACCGAAACAAATTACTGTTAGCAATGGCATGATGAAAACTGATCATAATGAGTATTGAAAACAAAGAAATAGTCATTTTTGAGATCATTCTTTCTTCGGCTAGTTGTAATTGTTGCGCGTAATGTGAACACTAATGACCATACAAGAAGGCAGCGTCTTTATATATGAATGATGGTTGAAAGAATGATTCAGTGGAAAATAATGACTCAAAGACATGACATTAAAAAAAATTGTTTGTGCATACAGTTTACACAATCGTTGATTGATGTACTTTTATTGTGTGTTTGATAAATCGGTGAGCGTTTTTCTTCCTTGCTTTATTCGTGTAATCGCGAACTTCTGTAATATGAATCATCACGGGATCAACGAGAAAAAAATGTCCTAGATGAAGAGCTTTTCTTTTCAATGTAAAGAGCTGACAAAAAGAAGAACAGTCAAATAAAAAGAAATAATTACGTTTTCTCAACATAGAATATCTAGGTAGAAAAAAACACTTATCTACTTGCGGGCCAACAGTCAGAACACAACATCTTGTTTTTTTCTTTAACATTCACATACAGACGCAGAAAAAATTGAGTTATTCTTGGTGAATATTGCGAGACATAACAGGCGGTAACTCTAGAAAAGAGGCGGATCATAGAATAGTGACTACTTCAAATATGCTCTCATTCATGGTCTTTCATCATATTTTTCTCTATCTTATGGTTTATGAATAGATGTCATTCTAATGTGCATAGTTATACGACAAAAAAATTTTTAAAAACAGAAAACATTACTCTCAACAATAACAAGTCAGATTTCAACTGGAAATCGATTACAATATAGTTTTCAATTTATGATAATCATGTTGAAAAAGAAATTAACGACCATATACAGTCGTATACGACCGTCCTTCTTCGGTCTGGGTCAATTACCATTATCCATTTAAAAAGAAACATCGCTCCGAGAGAATACTAATAAATTTTGAAGAGAAACTGGTAGAGAGTTGCGATTTTCGTTCTTGAATAGAGTATGACTGGGAACGTAGTACCACCAAATAATCCGGCATTCAAGTAAGGTTTACCGTAGTAAACCCTTGCATCGAAACTTGGTGAGATCGTCGTCCCCTGAGCGTATATCCGATTTTGATTTCTAGCTAGTAAAATTAATAGCTTGGATCAAGATCTACAATTTTTGATCAGCCTCAGGTCTGAATCTTTTACAATTCAAGAATTATAAGTATTCTTTGTAAAGGTATTGACTACTATCTGGTCATAAAGGGTGTAGATGTGGGTGTCACTAACAATGGAAGGGTTTGTATTGATAAGCGAATTGGATGATCCGGTTGTTATCAAAAGATCACTTTCACCGAGAAACTAACGAATTTAAAATATTAGCTGCGTATGGCATGCCTGGACAGAGATCCTTGAATTTCAAGATATGGGAAATTTAAGTATAAAAATGAATCNTATTGATAAATGATTTAGAATTAACTTCGATACGACATTTATTAAATACATTGACTAATTCGTTTCTTTCCTTTTGTTTAATAATGAATCTTATTATTATTATCAATATGAATTCGTTCGATATATACGTAAAATCTAATACTTAACAATGATTATAATTAGTTGAGAAGAAAAATCTTTTTTTTATGATAATTTTTATATTATTATTTATTGAAAGAAAAAAAAACATATGACTTATCAATTTTGACCCATTCAATGTTACGTTGATAAGTATTCTTTTAGAGACATTCTTAAGATTTTAAATTTCGATAACATAATTTTTTCACTTGATAAACGAGTTCGTGCATATGATTAATGTTCACATTGGTGCGTTTTGGTATTTTATGTTCAATTTTTTTGATAAAGAAATAAAACCAAGAAAATACTTCATTCAAAGTCGAACAGTTTAACATTAATTTACAAGTCAGTCCTTTTCGTATTTTAACAACCGATGTAAATACTAAAGGATTGTTATATAACTCAACAAGAGTAGCCATTGCCATTAATTGGGGAATGGCACAAAATTCGAATACTTTACGATGTTTAAGGCGACCAAGATAGTTGATCACATCAGGTACATGATTAAGTGAATCCATCACCATATGATTTAAACATTCAAGACTTTGTTCCCCATTAGGTGTTTTAATAAATTCATCAATATTAGTTGCATAATTTTGCCAGATTTCTTTTGGCCACCAAGTTCTACCTGCTTGAAGATCTTCGAGATAGTCGCGAATAATATTTGTTTTTTGTAAAAATAGTCCCATACTGTTACTGAGATTATCATCAACATGAAGATCAGCGTCTTCTAATCCACTGTGAGCAAAAATAGCTGATAATCCATGACCAACAGGACCAGCAACGTAGTGACAATACAAATTGTAACTGACTAATGTTTCAATTGAGCCTCTCTTACTAACGTATTCAGCCATTCCATCTCCCATCTTACGTGTGATATTCAATATGATAGATCGATATTTTTCATCTAGTGATTTAAATACATTAATAACTTTACTAAAAGTATCCAATAATATTCGATAATCTTCTGTATCACCGACATCCTTTATAGACCAATTATCAATTAACAAATTATTGTAAAAATTCCGTAATAAGAAAATTTTCTTATCTTGAGGATATGTCATATCATCTTCAACACTATCAAGACCACGAAGAACAAGATAAAATATGCAAACTGAATCTTTCAATGATTGAGGAAGCTGTTGAATAACAAGTGAAAAAGAACGACTGACTTTATTTAATGTTGCATAACAAAAATCTAGATCATTAAGTGTGTGTGCCAATTGATCAAGCGAGTTTTTCGGTAGTTTTTTAACATAACCACCGAATTTTATTTTAAATATTGCAATGATCTCGGTTGGAAAGAGAAATGAAGATGTTAACTCTTTCAATAAACAGGGAATATGAAACAATTTTTGTTTTAAAATCTTCATTCGAATTTGTTTAATTAATGAAGCATTATAAACATTTCGAATATTCCAGATTTTATCAAAATTAATATTAGATGAATCGAAGTACAAATATTGATAAAAGTAATAACAAATATATAAAACAATGTTTATTAAAGTAGCAATTATCATTATCATTATTACAGAATATGAATCGAAATAGTAGCAAAAATTTTCACCTTCCATCTATTTTTTACAAAATAATACTTAATAATATTCAGTTAGTGATATTTATCGGTACAGGTAAGATACTTCTATCATGATAAAGAACAAAGAAAAAAGAAAAAAGAAAAAGTCCACTAACGAATGAATATAAAACAAATATCGTCCGATATCTGATGATGATCGTTCGATGTCGGACGATGATGATCATCATCTTGTCTTGTACTGGTTGGTCTCACTTGAAGGAAAAAAAACTAAGATTTTTATCTCATTTCAAAAGCAGTTCATCTCATTATCTTCACTCGATGAACATTTTTATTCTTTTTATCTATCAAAAAAAAAGGTTGTTGTATTTTTTTTGTTTTTATCTATAACTTAACCTAACATTGTTTTATTGTTTAATAGAACGATTAAAATATTCCTAAGAAGAATTATAAGAAAGACAAGTGTTGCTTATTTTTTATTTATCCATATGAATATTTTCAATGCACTATTATTCATTCATTTCTTCAACAAACGTAACAAACTTTTATCATCGTCGTGTTAACGTTAACAAAATCATTTCATATATAAATTACTTTTATTTGTTTTTCTATTTATAAATTTTATAAAAAAAATTCAAAAATAGAACAACAATAATAATTAACTTATAACAAAATTATACCAATTAACATTATAAAAAATACTTATTTTCATTAATTAGGAGAGAATTTAATAATCAATATAATTAATAGAAAATAATATCTTATCGAATTTATCTAACAAATATCAATAAAAACAAGAACTTTTTAAATAACGTCAACTTATTTTAAGATAGAAGAGAAAATAAGGCTAAATAGTTGATTATTCGACATAATACTAAACTATCAAGCCGTGTCACACAATTTTATAGTGAATCTTCTATAATATCGATAGGAAATTCTTGTTATTCACTATTCCGAGTGTTTTTTTTTACATTTTCAACCTTTGTCTAGTTGAGATTTGATCCCTATTTTTATTAATTTATTTTGTTTTTGTTCCTAAAATTAAAACCACAATAGTTACATAACATATAAAACAACTATGTTGACAACTAGAATTTTTTTTCTATATACAGTAAAATAAATTATACTACGTAAAAGTATAATATATAGAATATTATAATAAATAATATTTTCATACAAAATAAAACAAATAAAT